CTGACTAAATGCCAGGTGTTATTTTGACTTGTTTACAGACTCTAACAAGGAAGGAAGGGCTGGGTGGCCCAGGTGCAGGGTCAGCTGTCTTCCAGATCTATGGGATAACTGGTTCTGCTGCCACCTGGTCCTGGCTGGTGTATCCATTCATGTCTCTCTTAAACACAAATAAGACCAGAAAGCCAGGACCTACTGACAAAGGAGACTTTACTCCACTGACAGCTCTCCATCTTTATCCTTTGAGTCCTCTTCCAGGATAGCAGTGGGGTTGGGCCAAAGTATCTGGAAATGTCGGGTAGAATCAGAACACAGTCTGAGGCAGAATTTTCCTAACTTTCTCCTGCAAGGCCATCACCTCCCTCTCCATCTTCTCCACCCGCTTCTGCTATTCCCACTGGATGGACAGGCAGCTGTTCGCATAGGCCAGCCATGGGCTCCTGCAGGGCTTCCAGCATATCTGCCTGCAGCCTAGAGTCCTGGCTTCATTCTCCAGCACTCTCTGAAGGTTCTTCAGCAGCATGTTATCCTTCTCTTCTCTGGAGACAAAGACTAATTAATATCTTGCCTCACAAGAGAATTTATCTAACCTACCTGACTTAAATGGATAGGCTCATCCAGCATCCAGGACTTCTGCCCTGTTGAGTAATTTAAGGGTTTAGGACTTAATTATATCTGCCTAATTCCTTTCACAAGCAACTACAAATTTATCTTTTGACTGGATCATTAGTAGCAGGTTTCCTTTGATTGGATCATCTAATGCTGGGTTTTCCAAAGGATTCTGAGCCCAACAAAATTGCAAAATGAGAATTTTTTGAGTCTCTACAAATGTGCACTTATGAGTTCTGAATATTTTGTCTACTTCTCCAAATAGGAGAGCTGAAATCCAGCCTCTACTTAACTGTGCAATTAGTGAATTTTCCTTCATTTTGAAATTTAAATAGTTCAGGGTTAAGGGACATCTGTATGAACAACAGTGAAAACTTGCTGTTTTAAGAATTCCACAATTCAAGAATAAGAGGGAGTTTTCTTACTCCAATTAAGGGTATTAAAAATTCTACAACAAACATCACTCTTTTTTCTTTAAATAAGGAATTGAACCCAGCAGCACTTAACCACTGAGCAACATCCCCAGCCCTTTTTATATGTTTGCTTGTTTGTTGTTGTTGGGTTTTTTTTTTTTTTTTTTTTTGGTTGTTTGTTTGTTTTAGTTGCTGTTTTGAGACAAAGTTTCACTAAGTTGCTGAGGCTGGCTTTGAACTCATGATACTCCTGCCTCAACTTCCCAAGTCACTGGAATTACAGGCCTGAGCACTATACCCAGCTACAAACATTTTTCTTAATGATAAAATGTGGAAAGCTGAGATTGGTATTGAGACCAGAATGTCCTGTGTCACCACTTATATTCAACATTCAATACAAACTATACAATAAGACAAAGAAATATATAAAATCCAGAATTGGAAAGGAAGAAACAAATTATCATTATTCACAGACAATATCAACAAATAGATACGATAATAGAGTTTAATAATGATACTGATTAGATAGAATATTAAGTGCCAATTTCGTATCCAAAGGTCAATTGCATTTCTGTATGCTAACAGAATTCACTAGAAAAAGAGACTATTCACAGAACAACAAAACCATAAGGATGTAAAACCAAATCTTATTTTTTAAATGTTAAAATTGTAACACTTAATGGTACATAATCACAAAAGATTCCATCAATGGAGACATGTATGCATTTGTTCACATAAAGACCTGATGTTACAAATATCCAATCTCACTAGTTCTGTTTTTAAAACTATAATGCTACCATAGCTGAAAGCTCAGTCCTTGTCCCCAAAGCCAATCCAATAAGGAGGACATAGTTTTGAGAAAAAGGAAAAAAAAGTTTTATTGCTTTGATAGCAAAGGAGAAACTCAGGGAACTGCTGTCCCAGAGGCTCTGATTCTACCCATCAACAGGAACAGGGGCCTTTTAAAGAGATGATACATAGGCTACATTCCACGTGTTCTCTGTTGGAGTTGTAATTCACTTGTTAACTTTGGAAATAGTCATTTCTGAGATCCATCCCCAGAGTCTGGATTACTTCACTTTCAGGTAGGTGAGTGCTCAAGGACAGATATTCCTGTCTAGGATGGGGAAGAAAGGTAATCCTTTTTCCCCTGAGATTGGGGAGGGGGAGACATTAGGGAAGAGGAAGAGAAAGAAACATGTCCATTTTAAAAATCAGTTGCAGTGGAAGAGCAGCAATATTCAAAGCACAAGGTGATCCACTGTTGCAAATAGAAGAGGCAAAAATAACCATTCTTATTTTGTTCCTGATTTTAGAGAAAGCCTTCGTTTTTTTATCACTGAGTGTGATGTTAACTGTGCGTCTTTCATATGTGGCATTTATTATGTTAAAAAAGGTTCATCGTTTGGTTTTTTTGATCATGAAAAGGTGTTGGATTTCGACAACTGATTTTACTACATTAGCTGAAACGATGATGTAGGGACTTTTCCCCTTTATTCTATTAATGTGGTATATTACATTGATTTCCCAATGTTGAACTATTCTTCATTCTGGAAAGAAGTCTCACAGATTAAGGTGTTTAACCTGTTTTAAATGCTGAATTGAGTTTGCAGCTATCTTGTTGATTTTTGCATTTAAATTGATAAGGGATATTGGCCTGTTCTTCGTTTGCTTTTTCCCCATAACATTTTTCCTCTTAAATGCTATATAATCGTGTTCATGGCTTATTGTCTGCTTTCTATACCCTTAAGAAAATTCTCCAGGGCAATAAACTTCCTTTTGTTTGCTGAGTATTTTAAACCACTTCCTGTAGTGCTTGGTACATAGCAGGTGTTCTGTACTCATTCACAGAATAACTCCATTGGAAATGGGTCTGGTTCTGACTGTTGTCTAGTGTCCTCACCATCATTTAGGCAGATACATACCTACAAGATAACGCCCACAGGGAACCTGCTTCCCTTCTGGAAGAACTTTGTACCCAGGGTCCAGAAGCTCACGGAGAGTGTAAACACACCCAGAAGCGCTAGAGGGAGCTCTGTTGGGGCCTGAGCACCCTACTGCAGAGCCCCTCAGCGCAGGCAAATGCAGAAAACTACACTTCCCAGAATCCTCGCGTGCAACTACATTTCCCAGAAGCGTTAGCGGCCGGCCTTTCCTCCCCCCCCCCCGCCCCGCCCCGCCTCGCCCTCCTGGACCTTCGGAGCCGCGGAGTGTCTGCCGCCAGGTTTCCGGCTGTAGAGCTGAGATCGCTGGCGGCCGGGGTCCCGACGCCAGGTTGCGGCGAGCGGGGCGGTTCCGGAGCATCCCGCATGCGGAGCGCGGCCTGGCGAGGCATCACCCCGGGAGCCCCGAGCCCGAGGAGGTGAGCGGCAGAGGGCGGTGGTAGGCGGACCCGGGCCTCCGAGGATGCGGCGCCCGAGTGAGGGGAACAGGCCCGCAAGGTGCTTGGAGAATCCTTTGTGGGACGAGCGACACCCTGGCGCTTATTGCCTGCCTCCGCCAGCCGTTCCGTGACGTCGCCCCAGGCGCGTCAGGTGGGGCACTTGGCCCAGGTTTTCGGCAGTCCCACCTCCGGCTTCCGCAGATCCGTCCACAGCGCGTTCCCTGCCCTGGCCCGGCGTTAAAACTCTGGAAATTGATTTCTTGACAGGGGATAGAGAAACTGGGAAAAGCTTGTGGAGGAAAATTGCCGGTGAGATTAGAGCGAATGTACAGAGCTTGGAATCCTGGTCCCATCCTCACTGGCTTGTGGGGAACTGGAGCAATTGACCCCGCTCTGTTCTTAGTTTTCTGATCCATAAAATGGGATGCTAGCAATGCTACCTGATGATGTGGGACTAAATAGTGTAAAGCTAATGGTGCCTGGCACTTGGTGAGGCTCAGTGAGTCCCTGCTGTGATGGAATCCAGTCCCCTTCTCCCAGTCTTGCTTCTGGAAATTCTCAGAACCATGAAGAGTCAAGCCCTGGCCTAGGACGCCAGCCCATGTCTCTGATTCTGTCCACTCCTAGCTCCTTCTGACATTCCCCTACAGACATGTGGAGTCAGAACTGCTGGTTCTGAGGGGTGGAAAACTGAAGGTCTTCCTCATGGTATCTTTTTCTTCTTTTAGATCTCCTGGAGACTGCACCCATCCTGGGGAGAAGAGCCCAAAAAGAGAACATGGCTCCTGAGCAAAGGGAATCAAGGTCTCAGGTGAGCTCATTGCCTTATCAGTTCTTAGTGGATGGATTTGGTGGTGGTGATGGTGGCTGGATGGTTTTATCCCTCTTAACTGAAGTTCTATAGCAATACAAACCTCATTAGGATTTGGAGCCTAAGTCCTGTGAATTTAGGGGAGCCGGTCCACCTTTACAAGTGGTAGATTTCTGTAGGGAATACTCCCCGCACATATGAACACATGTCCAGTGTTCATTCTTAATCCACTGTGTGATCACTAATTTGACAGGTAAGATGTCACATAACTTTATATCACTAGGGACAGAATAAACATACACAACATGATAAAATTCCTCTCTGGCCCTGCATCTTTCATTCATTCTTGTCTTCCTCCCTGCCCTTGACAAAATGCTTTTCTTTTTATAGTCACCCCTGAGCATCCTCATGATACCTCCTCCAGATTTCTCCATCCCATAGTTTTTAATTTTTTCTCCCTCTCTATTCTAAAGATCAAGTGCTTTGCCTGTACTCTTCTCCTGAAAACTAATCTCAACCTGCCATTTTCAACCCTGGGCTGGGAAAATGGGGGAGGTAACATGACCTGTGAGCAAAGGATAGCCATGTTGCAGGGGACACAGGTGGAGGGATCTCTTTCTCTGAGGGCAAAGAGGAGACTCCTCAGGAAACATAAGGAGGGTTCTATGAGGTATTGGTGGTAGAGAAATAGAACACGCAGTGGTTAGAAAGTTGGACTTTCGAGCCACACAGCCAGGTTTTAACTGTTGTTACTGTTGGTGGGCCTTGGGCAAAAATAATTCCACTTCTCGGTGCCTCAGTTTCCTCACCAGTAAAAGAAATAGCAACATGCCTATCTCCTCAGTAGGTGAGAGGATGACATGAGTTAGTGCATAGGAAGTGTTTAGATGGGGCGGGGGGGGGAGCACACAGTGACAGCTAATTGTGTATGGTTATTGTGGTAGCTGAAAGATACAATATTAATAAAAATATTAATGTTAATAGATAGAAAGTGCTATACAGTATTTCCAGGACGCAGAAAATACTGCCCTTTCTCTACTCATCTTCATCTGTCATTAACAGTTGTTATTTATTGAGTGTCCAGCATGTTGAGGAATGTGAGGGGGCTTTGAGTTTGTTATTATTTTCACAATAGTACAGCAGTTAGTATTCCTGTTTTACATATATATGAGGAAACCAAGGTTGAAAAAAGTCAACCCAAGTTTATGACCACCAGCCATGTGTTACCAGGGCACTTTAGCAATACGGGATCATCTTTGGACCCACAAGCATGGTGGGATTTGATTTTTCAGGCAACAACCAGTACCTGCCATTGTGTGTTTGAGCTGTTCTGTTTTCTTTAAGCTTTTCCCATTCCATTCCCAGAGAGCAAGGTTGCTCTCCTGCTCAGAACCTTCTCTATCCACATGTGTCAGTGAATCCCCTACCACATCTTATTCCTGCCTGCTGCCCAGGTGTCAGTACCACACTATTTGTAAAGGATCAGAGAAGGTACTGGGTTCATAGTTGGAAACTTTAGTTCGGGTCTTGCTGTTGCCACTAGAAACGCATGAGACCTGGGGTTTTGGCTGCCCTGAACCTTATTCTCCTTGTTTCTAAAGTGCAGATTGAACTAGGAGATGGCATATGATCCCACTACACAGCTTTTTTTTTTCATTATGCAAACTATTTCATGCATTTTCCTTATCTGCTGATTGTATTATTGAATTCTTTGAGGGTGAAGATTCTTTATTGTATTCCTTCCATATACCGTTAAATTATCTTTCTTATCATATATGTATTGCATGCTCATCAGGAAAAGCTCAAATAATAAATATGTGTATGAGCATTAAAACTCTTTTTCATATGCTATAATCTCACCACACCATTCAGATACCAAGAGTGTGGGAGTTTTTCTTCACTCACCAAGTAAGGAGTGCTGCAATGGTGAACCCCAACTGAGCATCCTCTAATTCAGTACAGTTCTGACATTGTCTACCTGGAGGTAATGTCAGACCCCACAAAACTTTCTCCCACTTCAGATCCCATTTGCAAGTCTGGGTCTCCAGTACTTGACCAACTGGCTACACATTGAGGTTCCCACGACCTCCTTCCTTTGGCTTGATTAATTTGTTAGAGCGGCTCACAGAACCCAGGGAAACACATTTATCTGTTTATTGTAAAAGGTATTAAAAAGGATTACAAATGTAGAGGTGCATAGTGTAAAGTATGGGACAAGGGATATAGAGCTTCCACATCCCTTCTGGGTGTACTAGTCTCCAAAAACCTCCATATGTTCAATTTTCAGACTCTAAATCCTGCCATTTTGGGTTTTATGGAGACTTTGTGTAGGCACATTGATTAAATTATTGACCCACTTAACCTTGAGCCCCTATCCTGATGATATCCAGAAGCCTCCTACCACGGTCAGCTTATCACCGGAACTAGGAGCAGGACTAAAGATGGAATCAGGTTAAAGTTGTACACTTCAGTGTTTTTTCTAGGGCTTGCACATTGCCCTCCTATCATGTTACTCACTGTGGGCAAGAACATGGGATATGAACCAAGGGCCAAGGGAGCACACTTATCCTCTCTGTACCTTTGTTTTTTCTTATATATAATGGGGTCAATGATAGTTCCTTCTTCATAGGATTTTGGTGAACATCAAATAGATTATACACAGAAGATTAACATAAAGCTCTCAGAGCAGTTATTGGCCCATAGAAAGCATTTAATAACTGGAAGCTATTTTAATTTTCATAATTACTATCCTCAAGCTTGACGCAACAGATACTACCTTATTTTACCTAGTCTGTATCAGCATTTAAGTTATTTCCAACATGATAAATATCCTTATGCATGCAGTTTGTGTATTCTTCTTTACAGTCCAAATATGGTAATTGGTAAGTAAGAAGATATCCATTTCTAAGCTTTTTAAAAGGTATTATCAGATCTCCATCAGAAGGATTATTCTAATTAACTCCTTTGCTGATTACATTAATCCTCTATATGCCTCTCATAGTGGTTAACACAAGACCAGTTCCTACCTCCTGCTGCTCTGTTTTTGTCATTGGATGAATATCCATTAAACGAATGAGTGGCCTCTTGAGAACCTTGAATAGTATCAGCAGGATTTCATGGTAGCCTGTTTAACTCCATTTCCTCCATCTACATGCTGTGGAGGGTTGGTTCTGGGTGAGCTGGAGTGTCTTGTTCTTACAGGTATCGGTAACATTTGAGGATGTGGCTGTGCTCTTTACTCGGGATGAGTGGAGAAAGCTGGATCCTTCCCAGAGAAGCTTGTACCGGGAGGTGATGCTGGAGAACTATAGTAACCTGGCCTCACTGGGTAAGGAAATCCCTTTTAGACACAGTTCAGAAATGGGGAGATCTCAGCACCTGCTTCCCTGAATAAAAGCTGGGGGTCATCAAAAAAAGTTTAGCTGAGCTTTGCCTTAGGATTATACAAATCAGATATCTATAAATATTGAGAATTGAGGTGTAGAATTGCCCCATGTATGGGAATGAAGGGGGTTGGTGTTGATTATTACCCCCTCCATCAACACAGTTTCACATTTGAAATTCCTTCACAGTTGAGGCAACATTTTCCTATGATTTTTTTTTAATTTTTTTAGTTTTAGATGGACATGATACCTTTATTTTATTTATTCATTCTTTTATGTGGTGCTGAGGATCAAACACAATGCCTCACATGCTAGGCAAGTGCTCCGCCACTGAGCTACAACCCCAACCCTTTCCTATAATTTTTGTTTGTTCTGCTCATCCCTGAGCAGAGGCATACCTTAGCCTTCCTGACTAACCTACCACTTCCCTTCTCTACTTCTCTTTTCCAGCCAGATGAACACTGTTAACTCTGTCTCTGAAAAGAGATCATAGACTGTTTTTTTTTTAATTTAAACAAGAGACTTGGTACATAATCTTCCCCAAAGATACCTGCTTAAAGTTTTACACATTTGACATTTTCTACAGAAAGATAAGTCTTCCTGTTTATCATATTTCCCTCATATACAATGAATTTTACCAAAATCATGTTCTATAAATCACTTACCTTTTACTTAATACAACCTTTACATCTTTGGAGTACATC